GTTCTCATCATTAACAGGAGTCAGTGCCTAAAGTGGAATTTAGCAATTTCAGACAACAGAGAAATTGCCTGTAGAAAACAAACTTCATGCTTCAGCAAGCATTCCCTGGCGGAAGAGGCCCTGGGTCCAGACTGGGAACAAAAGTGCTTCTGATAGCACTTGAATCTGCAGCTTAGCACTTTGTGGAGCTGGCTGCTGCCTCCTTTTTGTCCCCCAGAGGTCACTGTCGAATACAGATATCAGGCAGAAATGTGATTACAAGCCAGTGCTACAGGAAAGGCTAAGCTGGCTCACCAAAAATTCATCTGTGAGCGGATCCTCTGGGCCCCATCTCCTGCACACATATACCGTATATACCGTAGGTGGCGCTATTGGCCAGGGCCTCTGTAGCTAGCAGGGCATTCCAGCACCCAGTGGTGGGGACTGGGGACATTGTTGAGATGCTAGCGGAGGCAAGGTAGGTTGGGAGTGGTGCCCTGGGAGGAGGGCTTCCCACAAAGAGGGAAAAGTGGTATTTTTGTGCTCACTTTGAAACTGAGTCCTAACCAGGCTCAGCCCTGCCCCCTGCAGGTCCATCGGGCTAGGAAGCTAGAGAGGCTGCCAAAGGTAACCAGCCTTTCCTGGATGTACCCACCTTCTATGTGGAAAAATACAGTCTGTACCTGTACCTTCAACTATCAAACAAAACACAAGAGTGTTTTATATGTTCGGGGTCTAATTTTTTTCAGAAGACTTTTAAAATCTCTTTCCTGATCATATCATCCACGGCAGACATGCAGCATATTAATGGCTGTAGAGAGGCACGTAAGACGTGGGACCACATGACCTGTACCCGGGCATCTTCACTGCACCCCACCATGGCACTTTTCTTCACCTCGTTTTAATATTCCAGCATGTGGTTCCCAGCCAAAGCTACACAGTTGCCTTGCTGGTATCTGCTTGGCCCCTGGAGAATGTGGTTAGCCACTTTGTTTAAAGAAGTGATTCTGCCAGGCAGTGGTGGCACACGCCTTTAATCCCAGCACTTGGGAGGCAGAGGCAGGCGGATTTCTGAGTTTGAGGCCAGCCTGGTCTATAGAGTGAGTTCCAGGACAGCCAGGACTACACAGAGAAACCCTGTCTTGAAAAAGGAAGAAAGGAAGGAAGGGAAGGAGGGAGGGAGGGAGGGGGGGGAGAGGGAGGGAGGGAGGCAGGGAGGAAGGAAGGAAGGAAGGAAGGAAGGAAGGAAGGAAGGAAGGAAGGAAATGATTCCAGGGTCTTGTGGTAGTCCTCAGCCTTAGTATTAATACGATGAGCTGGGGAAGGAAGAAACTATTTCTACATGATTCTGGTATGGTGCCATCTGGTCTGGATAAGAATATTGGTGTAAATAAGGTTCCAGATCTCAGCCTGGAAGATGGAGTGTGCGCTGGACTAGGAAGATGCTGGCTTAAGTCTAGCCTCTGCCATGTGTCAACTGTAGTATTTAGGCCAACTTCTCACTTAGGAGAACGGTGCTTATACTACCTCAAGGATTGTTTGGGGAATTTAATGATATCAGATACATGCGTGCTCCTGAACAATGGCCAAGGTGCCAAAGCACGGATCTGAAGAGAACTGGCTAACTGCACTGTGATGATACAGTAAGCTCGTATCAGTAAGCATCACCAGAAAGCAGGACTCAGTGCTCAGATAATTTGAGTGTGGGCCTGTTCATTGTGACTCTATGAGCGGCAGAAGGGGGTCGGGAGGCTGGAGACCTCTCTGGTTACCTGCCAAGCCCGGCTCCAGGCTAGGGAAGTGTGGGGCAGGGCTCATGAAATTCTCCACAGCAGTCCTGCTCCTGCCTCAGCTCTCCCTCAGGTATGTTCATTGAGCCTATGAAGGGACGGATGAGGAGTCTCAGGGAATTGGGCAGGGGATACAGGCAGAGCAGGCAGGAAGGTACTGGGAAGGTACTGGGACTGTGTCAGAAGCACAGTGGGTTCCTCTCATCCAGTTACTGGTCACCATTCAAGTTCGGTTACTGTTGCAGCAAACCCTGAGTAAGTGAGTGGGGGTGGCTGTGCATCAGGGAAACTCAGGAAGGTACCACATTGCATGAGACTCTAGGGAGAAGTTGTCTAACCTCCCCCAATAAACAAACCTTGGCCTCTCAGGCCTCTGGTCCTGGCACTGGCTGCCTCGGTTTCCTAGACTGGCAGGGGTAGGGTAAGGAAAGGGGCAAGCCACACTCCTTTAGTCCCCTGGGATCCTGAAGTTGCCCTGGGGGGCTCGGGGTGGAGACAAACCTGGGCTGCTTCTCCTCCATTGGCCCCGCCTGGAAGCGGGTGTGGGAGGAACCTCTCTGCCGCTTCTGCTTTCTGTGTATATTTGCAAGGAAGATGTTAACACTTCCTAACCAGCCTTTGTGTTCACCTAATCTCTGCTGTTTAACCTTTGACCCCCTGCTATTATCAGCGTCTGCCACCTTTGCTGGCCAGACCAGGGCCCCAGGAAAAGCCCTCACTCGTAGGCTAGGAAGAGGATGAAGCAGGCATTCCACCCTGTTGCAGGCAGATGGATGGCCTTTCCCTGGGGCAGAGCTTTGGAAAAGAAAGCAACTTGCCTTACCATTAGGATCCCAGCCCCCACTCCTTTTGAACTGTCAGTCTTTAAGTAAACATTCTTTCCTTCGTTGGGTCCCAGCACCTTAGTGGGGAGAGGGGAACCTGGGAAGAGAGCCTTCCCCCACCCCAGCCTCTTCTGAACTGAGGGATTTGGGCAGGGAGGACAGGCCAGAAGTGCTGCATTGATGTCAACTCTCTGAGTCCTCGGGGCATCAGGGCTTTTGAAGTGGACTCAGTGTAGCTGTCACCACAAGGGCCAGGACCCTCTGAAGTATTAAAAGCCATTCTCTCTGGGCCCATCTCTTGAGTTTGTTGTACCTGCCTAAGATTTCCCTTCTCAGCCCACACAGCCTCTCCCTCTGCAGTAAAGGACTCCTTGTCCAGGTGAAGGCTCCAGCAGCCCCTGGCCAGTGCCCAGCCCACCCAACCATCAAGGAGAAGGCCAAGTGAGGTTGTTTGAGAGGAAGAGCCTTTCCTTAGGCCCTGGTCTAACAAGCATCAGGTGTGTGGGGAAATCTCCAACCACAGACTCCCACAACACTGACGTGACCAGAGAGGCAGGCAAGGGCTCAGCTCCCTCAGCGGCATTTCCTGTGGCAAAACCTGGGATCTGTGCTTCTCCCGTTGGTTTTGTTTTTACAAAACTGTGTGAAAATGGAGGGCTGAGTCCTGAGGGCAGGAAAAGGGTACAGAGTCTGGGATCCAGGGACATATAGCTTCACGGCTTGTCACCCAGGGAGACAGCTCTTTGTGTGTGCTTTCCTCTCTGGTTTTAGTGGTCCCTCTAAGAAGGCCCCATGAGGCTTGGGGTGCTTTTTGTGTAGTTGGGATTTCCAGCCCTGCATGGTGAGTCTCTCTGGCCCCTGGGCTAACCTCAGAACTCTACCTGGCTCTGCTCACCTTTGGCTATGAGGCCACTAGCATCCTTTAAGAACCTCAAACTCAAAACAGGCCTTTCCTGTGGGTTTCCCTGTTTCCTCTCTAGCTGTAGAGAAAATGGGGGCAAGCTGTGGAGAACCTAGTATCTCCCAACTGTCGGAGTCACCATGCTGGTAGCCCAGTAGCCTCTTGTATCCCCACAGATACTACAAGAAGTTCTCCATTCCTGACTTAGACAGACACCAGCTCCCTCTGGATGATTCTGCACTGAGCTTTGCTCATGCCAACTGCACCCTGATAATTTCTGTAAGATTTGCCCAGATTTGGCATCAAGAAGAGGTTTCTCATCCCTCACCCACTTCCCTGCCTCCAAGCATCCCAAACCCTTGGTGTGCTTGTTGGAGAACAGACATCTATTCATCTGGGGGGGCCGGGCGGCTGGGGTGGAGACCAAGAGAGAGCCACACCCCAAAGCTCACAGGGTGGGGGTGGGGTGGGGCACTGGTGGTAACCACCAGCCTTAGGTTGTCCCCTTGGGTCTGCTCTTCCCCAGCGACAGGAGCTGAGCAAGTCCTTCAGACCTGTACACCAAGATCTTCATGTGCAGGGAGGGTCATGGAAAACCAGAATGAGTGTGAGAGGGAGAGGCCATAACTGAGTTCTGTTTTCTCCCTGGTTCCCTCCACAGTATCAGAAGCCAAAGGAGGTCATGGCAGCTGAGTCAGAGCTACAGAAGGAGTTAAAGAAGGTAAAGACGGCCCACAGCAGTGACGGGGACTGTAAGACACAGTAGCTGTCCTGAGCCTTGCACCTCCAGTGTGGAGGAACCCGTGAGACTTCTGGGCTTGGGTTTTGTGGCGCAGGCACAGGCAGCCTTTTCTCTTCTAAGAACTACAGAGTCCACAGAGCTGGCTCTTGGGGCACAGATTGCTTCCACCTGTGGATTTGTTTCTGAGTAAAGTCATGTGGAGTTGTTCTGGAAGGAGTCTCTGCCCTTTTCTCTACTTCTGTGTATCGGCCTTCCCCAGATGCCCTGGCCTGTCTTCCTAGAGAAGTGGTGGTGGGACAGCCCAGCCCACCTTCCCATCCTGGGGACCTCCCACACAAGCCTTCCAGCTACAGGGGGAGAAGAGTAGAAACAGGGCTGGACATCTTGTAACCTCCTGTGTGCTGGCTTGCCTTGTGCGAAAAGGTCAGGAAAAACTCCTCTGAGGCAGATGTGGGCAAAGGGGAAATTTAAAAATTCAGCTATCTTGGAAACAGCACAGAATGTTAAGACACTATAGTTAAACAAACATGGCTACAGTATTGTCAAAGGTGTGTGTTATGGTGGGACAGAAGTGAAAGGTCACCATAGCTCAGCATCCTAGAGGCCTCCAGTAGTTCCTTGTCTACACCCCCAAAGAGGTAGAAGAAACCTTTTTGTTCTTGGGGACACAGGGCCATGTTTTCATGCTTCCCCTGTACACATTCCTGAGTTTAAATGTGAGATTCTGCCTTCCTGGAGCCTCTTAGAATGACCAAAGAACGAGATTTGTGAACAATTAAATTTTATTTTTATAAAAATTAAAATGGTAACATGTTTCCCACAGCTGGCCTGAGGAGCAGCTAGCCCAGAAGCCCAAACTGTCAGGCTTCCTTTGTCCTTTCTTAGTTCAAAGCAAAACCAGACCAGTACTCAGGTATGTACCCCAGCTCCCAGGTGTTGGAAAGTTACAATCTGACTGAGGAGGAGGCTGGGCCCAGCAGAGGCTCTGGCTCCTGCACAGCTCTGTCTATCTGGGATGGTGAGAGACCTCGGCACTCTGTAGGCTGCAGTGGTGCTGTGCAGGGCTGGGAGCAGGCTTGACCCCACTGTAAACACCTAAGTTCAGGCACATTCTCCTAAGAGCACAGGAGGGCCTGTGTCAGAGTCAGCCCCAGTGTCCAGGACTCAGTGCTTCAGGTGCCCGGGCATGGTGGCCAGAGACCTAGGAGCTCAGCAGGGCTGGGAAGAGGAGTGAGGTATCACTTCACCTGCCAGGCAAGAGAGGTCCCTGAGTAGCTGACTTGCCCAGCCCATAGGCAGGGGAGGTCTGTCATGGGTTTTGAAAGTCTAGGACGTGGAGGTTGTAAGACAGCGCGGCATAGAGATGCCTGGTGGTGAACCGCAGGCAGTACACAGGACTGCTGAGCGGCGTGGACGTCAGTGGGAAGGCCTGCAAGGGAGGCACAGCAGTGAGAACGGCTCAAGTAGGAGATGGGGTGCCCCAACTCAGGAGGTCAGACCAGGGAAGCAGAAGTTGCAGCCCACTTTAGGTACACCCTTGGCCACATCACCCGCCCTCAGATACGACTCACAGTGAGTCTTGACATCCCAGAGGCATACACTGGGTGGGACACTTACATGCAGGCAAGCTCGCTGGCGTCGGTCCCACAGCCGCACGAGACCATAGTAGGAGGAGCCTGTGGCTAGCAGGTGGTTGCCATCTGTCTGTAGGCAGTAGAAGGTACTGTCGTGAGGCTCTTCCCACTCCATGACACATTTCCTGTCCAGGAAGAGAGTGATACAGAGAGGTTGGGGAGCCCTCCAGCCCAGCTCCTTCAGGGATAGAGACAGGTTAGGGAGCCCTACTGGGCTCAAGTAATGTGAAGCCTGACTCACCAGAGTCCTTAACAACCAAACCTAATGGAGCCTTGGGCCTCAGAGGCAACACATCCTCATCTGTGTTCTCCCTGTAGACTGCCTGACATAGGACCCATTGTAGAGGCTCTAGGAAATGTCTGCCTTTTCAGTCTCGCAGGCCACAGTGACCAGCACTGCCTAAGAGTAGGGACCCTGACCTTGATATGGCCTTGCTAACATGGAGTCTCTGTGCCCTGGGCTGACTCAGGACTAAAGTGTCCGCCCCGTCCAGCACACTCACCGGGTACTTGTGCGGAGGTCCCAATAGCGAACATAGGTGTCATAACCGCAGGACAGCAGTGTAGAGGGGGACTCGTACATGACATCCAGCACCCCAGCCCCTGGGGGAAAGTCACTGCCCAGGTGTGTGAGCAGCTGCCCACTGGAAGAAACAAGGGCAGACGTGAAAGGCTGTCCACCTGGGCGCTCCTGGAAGAAGAGGGCTGAGGGAAGACATGCTGGGCCACTGGACCTCCAAATAGCAGCATGGCTCACCCCTCCCCCAGTACCCCAGCCCCCAGCTGAAGCCGCAGTGGGGGCAAATGCAGCAGCCCCCCTCCATCACACCTGCAGGCCGGCTGCCTGCTCCCTCTGGGCAATGAATGGGGCTTGCTGAAGGGGTCGGCCCCCCTCAGAAGCACACACTTGGTTACTTTATAGTCCTTGATCTGGCAGGTCATGCAGTTCTGAGCTGTCTGAGTCCAGTGCCTTAATTCTTGCCTGTAATCTCGGGCTCAAACCTTATTGGGGATAAAGACCACACAAAGGGAGAAAGGGGAGTCCTAGGAAATGTTAAAACAAGTAAACACCTTTGTGTCCAGGGACAGAAATAGCTGAGAAAGCAGCTTAGTGTGCTGGTCCCTGGTGTTCTCGATCTCTGGCCCCCAGCCCAGGGCTAACACGCCTCTATGATCACAGCCCCCAGCCTGCTGCGCTCCAGCCTGCTCCCCCACCCAGACCCCACCCGGTGGCCGAGAACAGATTACTGAGAAGAACAATTTCTTTGTGACTGTGTAATTCCCTCCGTGACCGCGGCAGTGGGCAGACCTCTCACCCCATGCCAGACCCTTAGCAACCACGTAGGGGGGCCTCTTGGCCCTAGCAACTGCCCCTCAACATCAAGTGCACCAGCTAATCCTGTGGCCAGGGGATGGGTGGATGTATTGAACTTCTACAGAATGTCTGAGGGGCGTGATGGACAAGAGGCACCCTCTAGGCCCAATGCCTCCGCCTCCTTTTCAAGGCTGTCCTTCATGGTATGACGGAGAATCGAGGCCATGGACACATCACAGGGATGCTCACTCAGGTAAGAGGCCTGAGCAGTCATAGCGAAGGACTTGAAGCAAGTGAAGCTGACAGCCATGTGTCTAAATGCTGTCCCCATCACTCAGACTCTTACCCAGCCTACTCCCCCAAGAGCCACCATGTTGCAAAGTATTGAAGGAGGAGGCTGGGACTCTCACTTTACCTACATGGCCTTCACTGTGAACACGGAAGGCCTCTAAGCATCACTACTGCGTACACTGAATGGTTACATCCCAGATTGGCACCTCTGTGCCCAGCCATCTTCCCGGGGATGTTCCTGATGTATGCAGTGGCCCAGTGTTAGCCTGGGGAGATAAAGAGAGGCTTGTAGGAGAGTGGTGGTGGCACACGCCTTTGATCCCAGCACTCGAGGGGCAGAGGCAGGTGAATCTCTGTGAGTTCAAGGCTAGCCTGGCCTACAAAGTGAGTTCGACTCTTACACAGAGAAACCCTATCTTGAAAAAACAACACACAACTAAAACAGAACAAAAAACCAGGCTGTCTTCCAGGGACTAGGGTAGATATTTTCTCCCCAGGTCAATGTCTGATATAGACCCTGGGCCTTGCTCCCAGAGAGGCCCTGCCTTTCTTGACCAACCACCAACCACGAAAGCCATGGGAGGTGGGAGGAGTGTCTCAAGGTCCACTTGGGTTTGTGTATACCAGGTGGGAGCTACTGTCCTCCACAGTTCTCCCTTTCCAGATTGTGGACCTGCCCACTCCATTAGGAAGGCAGTAAGGAGTGATTGAGGAACTCTCCCCTTTAATCTGTGGAAGTAATTTCATGTTTGTTTGAAATAGAAGATGAAAGACTCAGGGTAGGGGTGGAGTCCAGTGGAGCCCCATCTGCCCCCCGTTGCTGAGAGAATGAGACCTGGGCACCCACTGCTGGTGGGGTCGGCAACAAGAGGGGGCACATCCAGGTTGAACCACTAATCTGGATCCTGTTCACTACCCAAGAAGCCCCTAATACAGCACAGCCCAAGGGGTCTGGGGGAGACCCTTGGCCTAGCCTGAAAAGTTTCTGCTTTACTTTCTCTAGGACTCTCAAGTGGCCACACACACTTTAAACCACAATAAAAAGATACACTTTCTTTGGCCTTGAGGCTCTGGCTCTTCAGAGCTCTGTTGTAAAGCCTGCAAGGTTAAGTTCAGAGCATCAACTGACACACCAGGCTCTGGGAAATGGCCTGTCTCTTCTAACTGGCCCAGCAGAGCTGCAGGAGCCCTGCTGGGGCTTTGATTTGGGAAAACAAACAGAAATGGCACCATGGGCCCTTCAGGTTCCCACCCCAGACCCAATTTACGTAGAAAACTAGCAAACTAGCATAGCCGTTGTGCTGAGGGAGAGGCTGGTCAACAATGGCCCTCCAGTCTGTGTCCCTGTCCCCTCCTGTGCTGCTGTTCTCACTGCAAGTGTGTTCTTGTAAAAACGATTAGATTGCAATTTGTATAACGTGGTGACCCCCAAATTCAGACATTTCACCCCTTTTCTCTGGAAAGAATGTTAAGAATGCTTCTCAGCTTCTCACTGTGGGGGCAGGGGGTTGGTGTGCGCAGAGCCTCTGCTGTCCCACAACTTGTGTGTGAATAGAGCCGCAGCTCAGAGCCCCAGGCCAAGACAGGAGCACAAACTGGGCTTGTCACTATAGAGTCAGACAAAAAAGCCCTTCTCCAGCTCTTGTAGACAAAGCCGGGGCCTCCGGGAGCTGCTGCAGACTGGGGACCCCCACACCCTAGCCTCCAGAGCCTGACTCCAGCAATTCTCTTGCTACCCAGGGAAAGATAAAGACAGATGGGACAGCCTCAGGGTGAGCCTGAGGAATGACACAGGCCAAGTCTGTGCTAAAGGAGCCCTGCTCCTCTGGAACAGTCTGCAGGCTTCTCCGTGAGGCTCTAGTACCTGGGCAGGAAAAAGCAAGCAAGCCAAGTGAGACCATATCCCTGGGGAGTCTCTCAAAACAGAAATCAGGTCTCCTGGTCCCAACTCACCCTGCTGACCAGGAGAAAGAGAAATAATGTATTACCATTAGCCACTGTGGCCCAGTGAACAGAGACATTTCCCTCCACTCCAGCCTGGACCCTGCAGAGTCTAAACACGCTGTGTTTCACTGTCGTGTGTGTGTGTGTGTGTGTGTGTGTGTGTGTGTGTGTGTGTGTGTGTGTAAGAGAGAAAGAGAGAGAGAGAGAGAGAGAGAGAGA